ATCATGAGATAGCTTCATCAAAACACACAAAGCTATCTGCTCTAAACTCCCATCTCTTTATTTTTAAAAATATAACAAACAAAAAAGGCTTAAATGAAAAAAGGGGTAAAACTGATGATAAAGAAGAGAGATGTGCAGAAACCCTGTCCCTGAGTGAGCAATCTAGTGCACCAGTCAAGTCTGCCTCAGAGAGGAGCACTGCGACAGACCCTTACTGAACCCGTAGTCAGTACTGTGCACAGCACAAACTCTCTATAGGAATTATACTTTCAATGCACCCCTCACACAGACCCTTTGATTCTCATTTTTCCTGCATGGGAAATTAAAACTCATAAAAGTTATTTGGTTGGGCCACACAGGCATTAAATAAGAGAACTAGGATTCAAATCGAGGTCTTCAGACACCAAAGCAACATGCTCTTAACCACGCCACCAAATTAAAAAGTTTATTTTATGTACAGAGACTATATCTTTGGAAGGATACTCAAAGAAATGTTGAGTATGGTCTACGGCCATACCACCCTGAACGCGCCCGATCTCGTCTGATCTCGGAAGCTAAGCAGGGTCGGGCCTGGTTAGTACTTGGATGGGAGAAATGTTGAGTATGGTTACTATGGATAATAGATAATAGGTGATCTTTATTCTTTGAACTTTTCAGAATAGTACAGAAAGAATCTTTGAAAAGATAAAACTTAAAGGGCTTTAATGCACAAGGCTCTGCTTACTAAGTTTATAAGCCCAAAGTGAACTTTTATTACTTTGAAACTGCATCTGTGCTCTTGTGTCCGGAAATAAATACATAACACTTTCTTCTCTTCATAGCAATGATAGCATTGTTATTGTTTTAGTCCACATTTACTAAACACTTAACTACATGATGAAGACAGACACATTACATGCATTTCCTCATTTAAAACTCACTACAAACCTGTGAGGAAGACACTATTTATTGTCCCCATTTTGCTGATGAGAAAACAAGACTGAAGAGGGAAGTAATGGGTACTAGGACACACAGAAGTAAATGGCAGAATCCAGGCATTGTGGCTCCAGAATCCCTATGGCAATGCAAGCCAAAGACTAGTAATGGAATACCTTTTCATCCAGCCCCTAAAGGATCTGTATCAGAATGGACTGTTTCACAATACTGTAACCAATCCATAAAAGCCATGTGCATATATTCAAGACTATCAGGTAAGAGTGAACCCACCTCCTACTGTCTCAGCAAGCAAAAACTAGGTTTAATGGTGGGAGGTACAAGAAGAACAACTGGATCAAAGAGTATGGACTTGACCTACAAATAGTGCAGAACCACTGATGGTGTCTAAGTAAGACCATGGCATAAGGAAAGTGATACATTAGTTGGATTAATCTGATGATTAGCATTAAATAGTAGGAAGACAGAAGGCTGGGAAAATCAGTTATTAAACTTGTAGATGTGAGATGTCAGAGAAAATGATAGTGATCTGAACTAGGATGGTGATAGAAGACCCAAGTTTATCCTAAGAAACTAGAATGAAAGACTCAAGAGAGTTTGGTCTTGAAAATAGGTGGAGGGAAAAAGAGAGATTAAAAAGTTACACCAATTTTCAAGCTAAACTACAAAAATGATCACATCAACATATACAAAATTAGGGAAATCAATGGGAAGCTGGTTTTGAAAGAGGATCATTCATTCAATAAAGACATCAGGCAGAGTGGGATATCTTCCCCTCAGGGAGCAGCTTATGAGTCCTCCCCCTCCTTTTTTTTTTTTACAATTACATACTTTTTAGTAGGCAAAGGAAAACTATAGAGGGGAGAATAAAAGTTTTTAAAGCTTTCAACTCTATAAGAATTTTGTAAGTCCTACTTTTAAAGGAAGAGTAGTGTGATATAAGTGCTGTTGCCTTCCAAAATAAATTGAAATAACAAAACACAAAAGTGGAAATGGTTAATAAAAAGCCAGAGATAAAGGAGTGGAACTACTCACTATTGACCTGAAAGCTTTCACTTTTTACAAGTATTTTAGAAGCCTGAATCAATAGCTAGTTAAATCCCACCTGGCACAGCACTGTCTCCGAAGCCTGGAGAACAGAGAAATGCAAAGGAGAGCTGCTGCAAAATGAGATGACTGATGCCGAGTGCTTTAAGTGGTTGCCAGGGACTGGGCTACTCCCTCCAGGTCCCCCCAATAATTCAGATCATTTCACAAAGCCCAAATATATCCAATTTGATTGAACAGGAGACAACGAGGCTGCTTTTCAAAATGAACTGACTTTATACAAATGCTTTTAAGATTATCTCTTTCCTAACCGGTTTGGCTCAGTGGATAGAGCAAGGGCCTGTGGACTGAAGGGTTTGATTCCTATGAAGGGCACATGCCTGGGTTGAGGGCTTCCCAAATAGGGGGCGTGCAGGAGGCAGCCGGTCAGTGATTCTCTCATGGTTGATGTTTCTATCTCTCTCTCCCTCTTCTTTCCTCTCTGAAATCAATAAAAATATTTTTTAAAAGACTATTATGTTTGTTTGTTTGTTTGTTTTTAAAAATCAGATCTTTCTTAAGCAGTTACAGGAAATGAATGCCGAAACAGAGCTCAGGCTCTGGGACCAAACAGGGATGAGTTAAATCCCAGCTCTTCCAATAAACCGCTGGGGAACCATCCCTGTGAGTACATTCTTTCCACCATGGAGGTTGATCACTTCCTTCCTTAAGATGTGAATATGTGGTAGCTTCAGATGTCAGTACTTTCCTTCTTAAAACTACACCCAGATCCTTTTGATTGGACCTGTATTTTTCTTAATTTTTAGCATGGAGCATTCGAGGTGGTTCATCTCATTCGTTATGCTTTGAATCTCCTGAGTCTCCCTCTTTGCAAACAATTGTATCGTGAAGCTCTGGCTGTTCAACCCATGCTCTGGACTTCACCAATGGAAGCGAAGAGCCGTGGAAGAAAAACCATAGAGAAAAATCGAATTGTAGGTACGCCCATACAAACCTTTCAGTTGTATAAAACTTAAAATCAATGCTTTCTTTGAAGTCGCGAATTCTGCACACTGGAGGCCATATGAAGCTCAACACAGCCTCTTAGCAACAAAGTAAGAACAAAAATTGTTCTGACTTGCTGGGGCCGGTTTGGCTCAGTGGATAGAGCGTCGGCCTTTGGACTGAAAGGTCCCGGGTTCCATTCCGGTTGAGGGCATGTACCTTGCTTGCGGGCACATCCGCAGTAGGGGGTGTGCAAGAGGCAGCTGATAGATGATTCTCTCTCATCGATGTTTCTAGCTCTCTATCCTTCTCTCTTCCTCTCTGTGAAAAAAATCAATAATATATATATATTTTTTTAAATTGTTCTGACTTGAAGGAGGCCCAGGGGTGTACCTTGTCTATGCTGATCACCCCCAATTCTCTGAACTCAGGGATCTTTCAGCATGGTGTAGTGGACACTGCAGGGAAATAGAGGAGGAAAAACAAATTCCACGGATCCTTTATTTACACGAAGCTTTCTTCGTGCCATTCCTGCCATCCCAGATCAGGCGGTCCAGATTGAGTCCCAACCGGTTTCTCCGCCTGAGAGCTCTCCGCTCCCTTACGTCCTGCACACAGCCACCAAACTAATTTCCTAAACCACCGGTTTCATTACATCACTCCCCACCTCAAAAAACACTTAATGGCTCCCTACCTCCTATTCCCTGGAAGAAAGCCCAACCAAGATTCAAAGCCCAGGCTAGCATTATCCTAATTTTTATAACACAGGACTTGTTTCCTCCTAATTCCCCCCAACGGATATTCTCTTAAGGCTGCGACTGGACTCATCTGCTCACGGTCCCCCTCTCCCCCAACCCCCCAAGAAACAAGACTAGTCTGCACACCTGGGCTGGATTACAACCACCCCCTCCTGCCTTCCCCCCCAAGGGTCAGCACAGACCCCCTCCTCTCTCTCTGCCCCGAATTGTGTGCTCCTAAAGCACATACGGCCCATCCTGGACATCTCTCACCCTCTTCAAACATCCTTTCTCGCTGACAATCCGCTCCAACCGAGACCAAGTTCCCTGGGAGGTGGATCACTAGTACTCGACACAGGGGGTCTAGAGACACTTGATAGGTCCTAGATACTAAAGCCAGAGGAAGGGTTCGGAGGCGGGTAGGTTCAAACGATGTAGGGCAAGACAAGACTCCTGCCCGGCTCTCCCCGATCCTCTTAACTCACAGTAAAGGGTGTTCAGCGCTCGCTACGAGGCGGACAACATCCAGTGCACACACGGGGCATCGGGGTGCAGCGAGCACGCCTCCGGCGGGCAAACACACACACAAAACACCTGCGTCCCAAGCCTGGCATGGGCCACAATCTCTGCCATGGTGGGGACATCGCACCATCGGTCTGGGTTTCGGTTGTTGGCTCGGGAGCAAACCCAGGGAGCTAGCTGCTGCTGGGACGGATCCCGAGGTCTTCTTCCCCAAATGGCCCGGGAAACACGTCCGGCCGCTCGAGCGGAGGCACGCGAACTTCTCCGATCCCAGGGCGGGCATGTCGGGGGAGCAGTGAGCACTGAGGAGGCAGCGGGGCTCGGAGGAAAGCGGTCTCCCTGGACCCCAAGGCAAGGGACAGTCCGCCCGGCCCCCGGCCCCTCACAGGGCGGTGCGGAGGCCAGGAGCGGGCCCGGGGGAGCCCCCCTCCGCGCCCGGGCCGGCGCCCCGCGGCCCCCGCACTTCATGACACTCTCGCCGCGTGTCCCCGGCCACGGCCCCCGTCCGCCCCCACCGGCCCGAGGGCCGCCGTCCTCCCTCAGCAAGGCCCCTCGCTCCCGCGAGGCGAGCCGCCCTCCCGGGCCCCGGAGCGGCCTCACGGCGGCCGCCTGGGGCCCAGGCCGGCGGGACGGGCGGGCGGGCGGGCGGGCAGCGTGAGGGGCGGCGGCGGCGGCGGCGGCGGCGGCTCTAAGTGCTGAATCACCACTTTGCAAGCCGAGCGCCAAGCCACGGTGACCCCGCGGGCCCCGCGGGCCCGAACGCTGCGCCCCACTTACCCACAGAGGCGCTCGGGGGGCGGCAGGCGGGCGCCGAGGGCCGAGCGGAAGGCGCCGGACGGAGCGGGGTGCAGCAGCCACGCGAGCAGGTACCGCATTCCCCGGCGCAGCCGCCGGGATCACCGCGAACGACCGCTTCCTCCCAGCGCGCAGCGCCGGCGCCCACTGCGCATGCCCCGTGCGCGCGCCGCGCCGCCTCCCGGGAGCCCCGCGCGGCCGCCGCGCCGCGTTTTGCCTGGCGCCCGACTGGGCGGGGCGGCGGGCGGCGGGCGACGGGCGGCCCGGGTCTGGGTGTGCGGGCGGGCGGGATGGAGCCCGGCGGGGAGCTGCGGGAGCCCGGCGTCCAGGCTTTACCTACCGGGGAGGGTCGGCGATGTGTGTCTGGGTCACAGCAGCACGTGTGCGGGCGGCGGTGTGTGTCTGGCTGTGTGTAGGGGGAGACGGGTGTGGGGGTGTCGGGGGTAGGGGGAGGCGGGGGGACCGGGGGCTCACGGGGACCGGGTGAGCACCGGGGGCCGTGTCGGGGGTGGCCATCCTATTGGCTGTCGCCCCGCCGCGCAGGTGTCGGAACAAGGTCAGCCAACGAGGCTGCCGCCCAGAAAACAAACCCTCTGCTCTGAAAGGCCCGCGGGCGCCCTCTAGAGCCTGGTAGGGATGTGGACCACGGACTGGATGGAAATTGAGGGGGTTTGGAGGAGGGAGTTAGACTATTGGGGTCCACCAGTGGGAGGCCGGGACCCTGGGGAAATTGGCTGCTGACCTTCAAGGAGCAAGGTAGATATGGGCCAGGCCAATGCAAAACAAGGCTTTTGTGGGCTTTTATATCCAGAGGAGAAATTACTCCTATTTCAAACACAACAACCCGTATGTACGGGTAGTACTCCAACCATGGTCAGTGTACTTGACTCATTATTTGTAAGACAAGACTTTTTTTTGCCCTGGTGGCTTTATGGTATTTTGCATTCAAGAACAACCTAATTAATCATTGCTATGGCCCAGTCGGTGTGAATCAGTGGCTGAGCCTCGACCCAAGAACCAAGAGGTCCCTGGTTCGATTCCCAATCAGGGCATATGTCCAGGTTTCAAGCTCGATCCCCCGTAGGCAGAAGGCAGCTGATCTGTGATGTTTCTCTCTATACATCTCTATCCCTTCCTCTCTCTCTAAAAATCAATAACAACATGTTATTTAAAAAAATAATAATTGTTATGAATCTGACTTTGTGTTGCATTGTTTTACGGGGTCTTTAGGGAAGCGTGTGATTAGGGATGGTGACTCCCCCCTTGCTTATGTGGGTTAGGTTTCTGATGTGGTAGGCAGAAGACTGCAGCCCAAAGCTGCTCTGAATCATATTATTGCTACAAATGGGAATTAGGAGAAGGGTTCTTTGATCAAGTGGGTGCCTCATTAAAGAGGTAGAGGAGATCTTTTTTACAATAGGGTTTCAGCTAAAGGCAAATCTTGGGTGGATGAGAACGGAGGTACCGGGGATAAGGAAGGGCTCCTAGTGATGTGCAAGGTAAAATTGCACCACGTTACATCCTAGCCCCAGCCCGCCTGCGTTAGTTTCTTGTGGCTGTCGTAACAAATTACCACAAACTTGGTGGCCTAACAGAAACTGATTGTCTCACAGTCTAGAGGCCAGAAGCCCCAAAGCAAGATGTCAGGGCCACAGTTCCTACGGGACTTTCCAGCTTCTGGTAGATGCCAGCTTTTTTGACGTGTGGCCACATCATCTGCCTCCATCTTGATGTTGCCCTCTCTTCTGCATGTCTTTTTTCCTTCTGTCTTTTACAAGGACATTTGTCGTTGGATTTAAGGCACATCCAGGTAATCCAGAAGGATCTCATCTCATCCTAAACTCAATTACATCTGCAAAGACTCGTTTTCCAAATAATGTAACACAAGCTCCTGGGATTAGGAGGTGAACATATCTTTTGGTGGGAAACCACTCAACCCAATAACTACCCCACCTTTCTAGCCTCTATCCTCACCCTCTACTCCAACATATGCATCTATTACAGCTAATTGATTGTTATAACAACCGTAAATTGTCAGTGCTCTAGCCATTTTTAAGACCTATTGAAATGGCATGCTTTGCCCCACAGGCATGGTTCAGTGGTTGAGCCTCAACCTATGAACCGGAGGTCACAGAGGTCACGGTTTGATTCCCAGGCAGGATTATGCCCAAGTTGCGGGCCATGTGGGAGGTAGCCAATCCATGATTCTCTCTCATCATTGATGTTTCTATCTCTCTCTCCCGCTTCTTTCCTCTCTCTGAAATGAATAAAAATAAAATTAAATAGCCTTGCCCTAGCTGGTTTGGCTCAGTGGAGAGAGTGTTGGCTTACATACTGAAAGGTCAATTCCAGTCCAAGTTGTGGGCTTGATCCCCAGTAGGGGGCATGCAGGAAAAGCAATCAATGATTTTCATCATTAATGTTTCTACCTCTTGCTCTCCATTCCTCTCTGAAATAAATTCTATCTAATAAAGAATAAAATTGACCGTACCTCCGTTACACCCACAAGCCATGCCCAGCAGCCAATCAGGAGTGAGTATGCAAATTAACCCATCCAAGATGGCTGTGGCCACGGAGAGAGCAGGAGGCTTGGGTTTCCCTGGCAATGGAGGAAGCAAGCTTTCCAAACTCCCTGGCCAGCCTTGGACTCCAATCAAGGCTACAAAGTTTCAATTATAGAAGATAAATAAATCCCAGATACCAGGGCCTCTGCTTGGGTCACCGGAGGGCATTGCCAGCCTGCAAACCACCACAGGCCCCTTGCCCAGGCTGCCCCATGCCCCAAGGGAACCCCCACCCTGATCTGGAACACCCTTCAGGGCAAACCAGCCGGCCACCACTCGTGCACCAGACCTCTATCCTATCTCATGAAAGAGTAATATGTAGATTGACCATCACTCCAACACATAAGATGGCTGCCCCCATGTGGTCAAAGATGGCCACCACAAGATAGCCAGCAGGGGAGGGACCAGGCCTGCAAGGGGGGACAGTTAGGGGCACTAGGCCCGCAGGAAAAGGCAGTTGGGGGAAACCCAGGCCTTCAAGAGAGAGCAGTTGGGAGTGGGGGAGACCAGGCCTGCAGGTTAGGGCAGTTAAGGGCAAACAGGCTGGCAGGGGAGCAGTTAGGCATCAATCAGGCTGGCAGGGGAGTGGTTAGAGGGCGATCAGGCTGGCAGGCAGAAGCAGTTAGGGGCAATCAGGAAGGCAGGCAGGTGAGCAGTTCAGAGCCAGCAATCCTGGATTGTGAGAAGGCAGTCAGACATCCCTCAAGGGGTCCCAGATTGGAGAGGGTGCAGGCTGGGCTGAGGGACACATTCCCCTGTGCACAAATTTCATGTACCGGGCTCTAGTAAAAATATATTTTTTAAAAAATAAAAGTTTTTGCCAAAACCGGTTTGGCTCAGTGATAGACCGTCGGTCTGCAGATTGAAAGGTCCCGGGTTCGATTCCAGTCAAGGGCATGTACTTTGGTTGTGGGCATATCCCCAATAGGGGGTGTGCAAGAGGCAGCTGATCAACGATTCTCTCTCATTGATGTTTCTAACTATCCCTCTCTCTTCCTCTCTGTAAAAAATCAATAAAATATATTTTAAAAAATAAAAAAAGGTTTTTTTGTTTTTTTTTGTTTTTTGTTTTTTTTACAAAACTTTACCTTATTTCCATTTCTGACATACCCCAGTATAAATATCCACTCTCTGATCAGAGCTTTCAGAGTACTTTGCCACTCAAAAGGCACTTATTTGGATTTTAGCCTTTCATACTTGTAAGAAGCAGATTAGGAATGATGTCTTAGTCATTTTTTTAAATATATATTTTATTGATTTTTTATAGTGAGGAAGGGAGAGAGATAGAGAGCCAGAAACGTCGATGAGAGAGGAACATTGACCAGCCGCCTTCTGCACACCCCTCAGCGGGGATGTGCCTGCAACCAACGTACATGCCCTTGACCGGAATCGAACCCAGGACCTTTCAGTCCACAGACCGATGCTCTGCCACTGAGCCAACCCGATTTCGGCATTAGTCATTTTTTTAAATATGTTTTTTTTTGTTTTTGTTAATCCTCAATCTGGGATATTTTCCATTGATTTTTTTTTTTTTAGAGACAGTGGAAGAGACAGGGAAAGACAGTGAAACTTCAATTGTTTGGCTCCTGCACGTCCCTGACCAGGGCTCAGGCCCACGAGGAGCCTGCAACCAAGGTATGTGCCCTTAACCGGAATCGAACCTGGGACCCTTTGTCCGCTGGCCAGACACTCTATCCACTGAGCCAAACTGGCTAAGGCTAAAATATGTGTTTTGTTTTTGTTTTTGTTTTTTTGATTTTAGAAAGAAAGGAAAGGAGAGGGAGAGAGAAACATTAATCCAGCTGTCTTCTGCACAGCTGCTGGGGATCAAGCCTGAAACTCCGACCTGTGCCGGGACCAGGAGTCAAACTGGAGACCTCTCTAATCAAACTTCTCAGAACATGGGACAATGCTCAACCAAACTACACTGGCCAGGGCGTTAGTCATTTTTGTATATCACCTGGCAGCAAGCACAGTGCTTAGTTAAATTAATGCTTGTCAAATACATGTTTGCTAAATCTGATTAGTCCTGAAAATGTAATTACTATTTATAGAAAATACAGAGGACAATAATTAAATCACATTTTAAAGATACAAGCAGCAACATTGGAGTGTTTGAGAAACTAGAGGACAAATGACCCTATTTATTTAAAAATAAAAAAGAAAGGACTGCCAGGCTGATATGGCTCAGTTGGTTGAGTCTGTTCCATGCACCAAGAGGTCACTGGTCCCATTTCTGGTGAGGGCACATGCCTGGGTTGCAGGCTCAATTCCCAGTACAGGGTGTGCAATCAATGTCTCATCAATGTTTCTCTCTCTCCCTCTCCATCTCCCTTCCTCTCTCTCTCTCTCTAAAAAGAAAAGAAAAAAAAAAGCATATTCTTATTTTTTTAAAAGAAGAAAGAAAGGAGAAGTCTACAGATTAAAGGGGACTTAGAATTGACAAGCTATGACAAGATGTTTATAAAATTTTATATGAAAAAGCTCAGGAAAACCCAAGCCAATCTGGAAGAACA